AGTGGGTGCGGAGTGGCTTTCGGCTTCTCGGGCTTCCAAAGCTGCACCTGCTGCCCTCTCTCTCCTGTCCCCGGTGCCCTCTGCCCACAGGCACAGGAGGCAGAGGCACCCGGGATAGGAGACAAGAGGGCAGCGGAGGGGGTTTGGAAGCCCAGAAAGCCTAAAGCCAGCAGCGGACGCAGAGGTCGGGGCGGCTTTTGGCTTCCTGGGCTTCCAGAGCTGCCCCCAGTGCCCTCTGCCTCCTGTCCCTGCTGGGCAGAGGGCAGCAGAGAGCACAGAGTGCTGTTCTCTGAAGATGCCGGCCACAGAGACTGACGAAACATTAGGAAGAACAACCTTCAGAACACGGCCAAAGAGCCCGGAAAACCCACAACAACCATTAGATCCCAGCCGTGAAAGCCTTCACGAATAAACCACTGATTTATTCTTTATTTTTCTGCCCATCTGAGTTCCCCAAGCAAAAGAACCATCTTATGGTCCTGTGTCAATCTTTATTATATAGTCAGCTTCCTCTAATGGTAATAATGTCGTAGTTATAGGACACTGAGAAGGGGGTTGGACTTGATGGCCTTGTAGGCCCCTTCCAACTTCACTTTTCTATGATTCTATGACACATGCAGACAGCTAAAGCTTGGTCATTACACAGAAAAAAGCATTTAACGGCCTGAAACTAGGGATGACCACCTTCTCTCTTCTGTGCATGCATTAGGATTGTTTGCTAGGATTCTGCTATGAGTGTCCCAACCTTTGAAAGTGTAGGGAAGTCTGACTGTTTTTCATAATGCAGTGATTATGTACTGTAGATGTTGCACTTGGTTTCTTTTAACTAAAAATGAATGTAAGTCAGAAAAAGTTTTTTAAAAAAAGAAGCCCCACCCCGGTTTAAAAAAAAAGATGAGGGCTGAAATGATACTGGAGAGAGTCAAAACATGGCCAGATGGTTCCATGCATCCCTAGAGGGCAGAAGGCAACTATCTGAGTAAGTAACATTTGTTGAAAAAAATTGAAGCGGGAGGAGATAAAAAGCTCCAGGGCATTAGAAGCTGCAAAAATGACTTGAGGATTGGGGGTGGGGAACTCACATGTTGTCCATTCGTAGTGTAATACATCTGAAGTATACTGGGTGTGAGAAGGCCACCTAGGTTCTAATGGACCATCTTACGTATTATGTATATGTGATTATGTATATATAACTACCATACCTACATATAGTAATTATGGTATACAGTGGTGCCTTGCTTAACGATTACCCCACTTGACAACGAATCCGCTTCACGATGATGTTAGCGATCGCAAAACGATGTTTTAATGGGCAAAATCCACTTTGCGATGATCAGTTCCCTGCTTCGGGAACCAATTCTTTGCATTATGACGATCAAAACAGCTGATTGTTGGGTTTTCAAAATGGCTGCCGGCTGTTCAAAATGGCTCCCCGCTGTGTTCAGGACGGATTTTTCGCTGCACAGGCATCAGAAAATGGCCGCCTTATGGAGGATCTTCGCTGGATGCTGAGGTATTTCGGCCATTGGAACGCATTAAACCAGTTTTCAATGCATTTCAATGGGCTTTTTTATTTCGCTTGACAAGGATTTCGCTGTACAGCAATTTCGCTGGAACGAATTATCCTTGTCAAGGGAGGCACCACTGTATATTGGGTAATGTACAGTATATACATAAAGAAATTCTGAATCTAATTCTATAAAATTGTCTGCGTATAGATTGACCAAAAATACTTTCCATGTTTGTTTGTTTAGTTTTAAATGATGCTTTGTTTCAATTAACAAGACATTTTATTAAGAGAATAAGGAAAAAGTTCAAGGACACCCTGTCCCATATTTGCATAAATGCCACATTTATTTCTTTAACTGAACAATGCCTTAAGTGTACACAAACAGTTCAAGACCCTAATTTCCAACACTCATAATTTAAGACATCAAGAAAACTAGACTCATTACTTCAGTATTGTTATTTATAACAGGTGTGCCCACAGCAATCACATATATACAAAGCAAGAGAAATTGTCTCCCAGCATTTGGAGATGATGTCACAGGAAGAACTCATGTGGACAAACTAGATAATGGAAGCACAGGCAAAATAAGATTAATAAAAATAAAAGAAAGTGATCACAATCTCTGTTATACAGTACAATCTTGATATTGAGCCACAGCTCGTGAATGATAAGAGATCCTTCATACAGATCACTCAATACACAACAGAGAGACAGTAAAAGCACATTAAACAGTTAAATTCCTTGTGTTGTTGCATGTTACCACAGAAGTAAGCAATCTCCTCTTAGTTCTACAGTTCTTAGCTAATTGTGCTTCAATCTCTTGTTTCTTTGCTTGCCTCTTGCTTTATAATCCCCAGAATTATTTTACCATGCTTGTCTAAGATCTGAGATACTTGTTGAAGGTGGTAGAAAAAGCATCTATTCTTTCAGGATAATTCCTTTTTATACCCCATTGGAATAGGAATGAAGTTATATATTTTTTAAAAATAATAATAACATTGTTTTCTTACATGACATGATTTTATCACACCAGCCTCTATTTAGAAATACATGTTACAGTACATTGTAGTGTCAATGGGTAGTGTCAAGGTAGCTCCTCTGGGTTTTTCATGTTAAAACTAAAACGTATCTATTGGATTTCCTGAAACATAAATTAAAAAAAAAACCTTTATGGACACTTATTCCCAACAAAAGCCCATGGGCTGTTGAAAAGAAGTTATCTATGAAGAGTATTTAAAAATCCTTACATCTTAAACTATGAAGAAAGATTTACAATAAATCAGTGGAGACTTCCCAAGTAGTCTGAAATCTGATGGATAAATATATGTGTAACTTGATATTTTGGCAATGATTGAACCAGTAATCTCAGCAGTACAGATGCCAAAGTTGTGACAGGCAGGGTGAGCAAAATAACACTCATGGATTAAATATCTATATTCCTAACAAAATATTGCAATTGTCTAAAGGTGTTCACATTAGCAGAAGACTGCTATTTGTTGAACGTGTGATAAATAAGTTACAGTTAATTTGCTGAGTTCACAGTTCACCAGCTATTTTTCAGTCATCAATTTCAAATCCTGATTCAAAAATCCTCATTGATTCCAAGTATCTTGGATTATGCCTTTGATCCCCTACATAGGACTACCATGTTGTCTGCAGGTTTGCTGGCCTCAGCAACATGGAACACTGAGTGAGATTGGGCCCATCCCAAAATTCACATCAGCAGGGACATGCACATAAGGCTGGCTGACCTAAGCCATGTCCCATATTGTCCTGTCTCACTGTATTGTCCTTACTAGTCCTTCTTCCTCATTTGAGGTGCAGGTAACAAACACATTTTTGTCTCCCTGCATTATTTGATCCTAATAAATGAAAAAAAGGAGGATACTGATGACATAACTTTTTTCATTCATTGCCACTAACATAGTGCGACTGCAGATGATTTTCTGATTATGCCTGGGGGGAAAGGGGGGTGATGATCCTCTCTTAGAAAAGTTATATTATGGACTGCAACTCCAAAAATCTCCCACAGTCATGGCTAGGAATTATTCGAGTTGTCATCCCAAAAATAACTTTTCTAAGTTCTAATCGATGCTTCTGTTATTAAAGCCTCATGTAGATAATGGAAGCATGTATGATCAAATCAATAGCCAATTGGGATAGATTTTCTTTCAAAAAGGCATTTATGCTTCTTTTGAAGGAACTCTTATCAGCCTCCAAAAGCCATCCTGTACTTAGGGAAGTGAAGAAAGGGCTCTTCTAGAGAGGAACAATAATAACATGCCTGCAATTCTATAGGTACTTTACCCAGGAGGAAGCCCTGCTGAACTAAGTGAATCTTACTTTCAAAGGAACAGACATAAGATTGCACTGTATATTTTGTTCCTTTTCAAAGACAGGTACTTACATTTCAAGCACTTTATTACTAACTGGCTATAGGGAGCTGTAAATTTACCCTTAACCATTTCAAGTACTGTAATAATCATATAGGACATTTCAGAGAAGGGAGGATTTGGCAAGCATGACCATCTGCTGTCTTGTTGCATATTTTGTTCAAACTTTCTGGCCTAATGTCTGCTAATGCCACTGGAACTCTTTCCAGGTATTTTGGTGGTTGGTCAAACACTGATAAGAGAGCAAGAATCACTGTTTAGAAACCCGAGTATCAAAGACGAATTTTCATGAGATGATACCTCAGTCTTTAGACCATAGGTGGCTCATGCGCAAAGCAGCAGGAAGCAACGCACCCCACCCCCCAGTTTTGTAGAGAGCCTCCCTGCACTGTCCATGAGTTGCCCCTGCTTTAGAGTGGGTGCTTCCAGACACAATGCTAAAAAAGCACTAGGCAGAATTTCAATACTTTCCACACACTGAGAAAAGCACGTGTACGTGTACAGCCTTACTGTGTTCCTTGACATGGGTCACAGCTGTGTGAAGAGGAGGACAGGAGAGCTGGCTCAGAATGGATGTGTCATTCTCTCTCCTTAGAAAATTGTTTATTAATTTGGAAAGGGCCAGTTTACTTGAGCTGCCTTGTCTTTCTCTGGGCTTCCATGAATTATTCTTTTCATCCTGCCTGAGTCTGACACCGAGAGTGAGCAATGTGGGAGAAGGATGGAATGCAGTTAACAAAAGCTGCCATGTTTCTGTTCTTTCAAAAAAAAAAAAAAAACACAACACAACCCAAACCTTGGGCTGAGTGCAGCAGGAAAGGAAAAGGGTATAAACACGAAAATTGCAAGAGGTTTCGCTTTTTTTTCAGGGAGGGAGCGCTCCCCTTGTCAGCAACATGTTCTTTCTAACGTAAACAATGGTCATATCGTGTTTCCCCAAAAATAAAACAGGGTCTTATATGAATTTTTGTTCCAAAAAATGTATTAGGGCTTATTTTCAGGGGATGTTTTATTTTACAGTTATGTCATCTTCTGGTTGCTGCACAATGGTGGAGGGCGGGGTTTCACTTAGCTGGGGCTTATTTTTGGGGTAGGGCTTTTATTCTGAGCATCCTGAAAAATCATACTAGGGCTTATTTTCAGGTTAGGTCTTATTTTCGGAGAAACAGGGTATTCTAGAAACCACTCTTGGACTCCCAGCAGCTTCAAACAATTTTTAAATTGTTAAATGCATATCAGTGCAATTCTGTTTTCATTCCCACTGTGTTCAGATAAAAAAAAAATACTTGAGAATTATATTTAGGGGGGCACTTGCGTAGTCTAGTTAAATTGTTAATTTTCTTCTTAAAGGCACTGATGACAACTCATTCTGGGAGATAATACATTTAAGAAGTAATGAGTTCAGGAGCTTCTAATTTCATTGCCCAGAGCCAGAAGCTTCAGATCAATAAAATGTGTCTTAAGAAGAAAGAAACATGAATGAAGCTAAAAGGATTTTGTTAAAGACATGAAAGGTTTCTGTTCTTGGAAACCCATAGCAAGCAATACAACAGGATGGGGAACGCATGGTCCAGAGGTACACTTCCTTCACTACTGGCCAGGCTAGCTATGGCTGATATGGATTAAGGGTTCACAGGCTCCTCAATCCTATGACAGAGAAAGGAGGGGTATAACCAATATCTCATCTACCTTTTCTTGGGATAACTCTTCCCACCCTTCCTGAATTCCACATTTTCCTATCTACACCTGCAAAGTGATGGTGCTGCTATTCCATTCCTCCCTATAAAGTGGGATTTTTTCCATGGTATAAAACAAAGTGAAAGCAGCACTGGGAAAACACAGAGGAATTACACAAAGATGACTATTTTGTGTGGACCCCACTCCTTTTAATGTTAGCAAGTGAGGCATTGCAATTCCACTGTAAACACCTTGTCTGGAAGCAGCCTTGAGACTGGAAAGTTGTATTGAATCAAAATTGTCCAGCAAAGCTATTTTTAAATATATACTGTATATATGTGTGTATAATTATTATTTTGCAAGCAGGAAAAGTAAACCACAGGGAATAAAATAAATAACACTATTTCTTGACCACCTCCTGCATGTCCATCTCAACTGGATTATAAAACAAGTGGCTTTTTTGTGCATATAAAATTGGACAGCAAATTTTGGGAAATGATCACAGAACAGAATGGTGAGCCCATGGGAATAACTAGCACTTCCTATTTTTTGTTGTCTTTTCAAATTGGAAGACAGAACAAGAGTTCTGTGGAGGGCAAAGAAGGAATGCTATGCTATCTGAAGGAAGCTAATATAAAAAAGAGCAGCAAAGAATGATATAAAATGCCCAGTCAGTTGATATATCTCCCAACGAGGACATGAGATGGGAGGACTTTGCCTGGGCTATGTCCTGGTTACTGTAGTCACCACTTTTGCTCATTCTCCAAAAAGTATACAGTTTGGCTGAAACACTGAGTCTATGCAGAGGGATTCAGCTCACCTTCTACTGTATTTGCCCATATTTCCTCACACCACACACACACACACACACACACACACACACACATATCAAAGTAGAATTCAAAAAAATGATTACTGCATAGACCATCTCATCTGGATATCACACACAAGACCAAACAGATACAACAGGAAAAGTTGGGAAAGTGAGAAACAATCAAACCAGTGTATAGTCATGCTGTGCAAATTAATGTCTGCTGTCAGTGAGAGATTATATAGACTCTGAGATACCCACAGGGAGGTTTGGACATCTTCAGCACCTCACCTACGGTTGAGCTTACATATGTAACCAAAATTTTGAAATGGTAAAAGGAGTACTCTGAGCTAACACAGAGACTCTACAGTTAAGGTTATTCTAAAAATGTGGTGCAAGGATCATTTTCAATTGTTATTGTGAGTTGGACATTCTGTGTAGAATTCTAATACTCCAAGGGGTGGGGGTGGAGAAAAGGAAAGAAAAGAGTGAAGTGCCAGCATATTAAATGTTTGGAGGGAGATTTTTTAAAACAGTGAAAAATAAGTGTTATTTTATGTCATGCTTTTTCCTTATGGTAGGGTCCTTTCATTCTTTCTATATCCCCATCTACTGTAAAATTATTTTTCCAATAAAATAATATGACAGACAATATTTTCTGTATGCAGTAAACATACATTTCCTCATTTCTGTAGGATATCCATACATCTTTCTTTGTGGTAGCACTTCTATTGTGCAGATATTCCATCTGCCCCCAGCAACTACTAGAAACCTTTGTTTGTTGGAAAATGCAATTTTCCCCTCGGGTCATCTATCACTATTTTCACTACCATATGGAATGTTGTGGAAGAATTAAGCCCACAACCCACAGTTTCTTTACTCCCAAGCAGAGTCTCTAAAAACGGATTTTCATTAAAACAAAAAGCAAGTTACAGAAATGTTGTATATATCTGGATACCCAGCTCATCCTTTAGCTAAGTTAAACAAGCATAGTGTCAGAAAATGGCTGATGAGGCTCCCTCCTATGATCACACTGACTCACTTCCACATCTTTTCCCTTATCAGAAATGGAATGCAGCACCTCGTACGTGTATAGGTGTAGAAAACAGCAACACATGATAAACAGAATGTTCAATTTTCAGTGAAGTAAATAGAAATAAATACTTTATAAATATAATCTTATACTACTTTTTCTTGCTCTACCAAGTAATTTTTAAAATATCAATAAGTTATGTTTTATCAGCACACAATCCTATCGCTTTTATCTCCTTTAAGTAACATGATTTAAAACGTTCACCCCTTTGCAAATACCTGTCTCTTTAAATGGAACAGTTGCTTTAAAAATTAAAATAAAATAAAATAGAAAAAGCTCTTGCTTTGTTAGTGGTCATATTTCACCCAATAGAAAGAGATGGGTGGGAGATCACATATGCACAAGAATTTCAGGGTGTACCAGTCTTCTAAAGTTACAAGAGAAATGAGTTTGGCCAATGAAGCTGTAACTTGAGATGGATCACTCTGTGGCGCAGGCATCTGGGAGATGAATGACAGGAGAGATCCAAATTTAAGATGGGAACCCTCAAACAGCACCCATTATTTTTGTTTGATGAGGTGGGTGGTTCTTTTAGACTAAATTCTTGTCTGGGCTGTTCTCCTTCTAGACAGTTTGGACCTGTTGGGGAAGCCAAGAAAAAAGAATAATGAAAGGATGGCTGGGGGGAATAAGACAGAGGAGAAAAGACTCTTCAGACTCCTAGCAAACCTTCAGAAAGACCAACCAAGTAGGCTCTGCATGGACCTGAGCTGGAATTAGCTCTGGCACAACACTGCATGTTGTTGCCATTTTTAAGTCTACAATTCCCATCTGGTCTAACTTACATACCCAATGGTAAGGGATTATGGAAGTTTCAGTCTAAAAACATATGAAGGGCACAGTTGTGCACAGCTGTTGCAAAGGATTTTTTAAGCTCTGCAGATACCTTATTGATCCAGCCAGTAGAGGGTTGAATGCATATAGCCAGTCGTGCATATCCTTGTCGTTGCTTGCCTGCAGCAGGATTCCACGATGCTCAGTGCACACTGCAAATGTGTTGGGGGTCTGAAACAGAACAAGTGAGATCTAGCACTACAAATGGAAGATGGAGAGAAATATTGTAATTGCAAATACCGTAATCCAAACCCCATGACCCCATAATCTATGTTGGACGTTCTGAAAGTGCCCCCTCAGCAATTCCTGCAGTTCCTGTTCCTTTCTCCAAATATGTAAATATTTGCTAAAAAACATTGCACATTCTCTTTTGCAAGCATAACAGTCATTTTCCATCTTAACTAGAAGAAGACAAGGACTGCTATGCTCTATCTTCATCCCGAAGTGTCAGTTCTGCAGAGTATTTACTGCTATTGCTTCTGGAGCATATGTATAGGGTCTATGTGTAGAGTCATCCTGAACATACTGTACTTCTATATAGTATTCTGTCTTGGACTTGGTTCTTTTTTATATTTAAAATACTCCTGGATGCAGTTATGACTATAATCAAACCCTTTCCGGGTTCACTGGATTGTCTGTGATAGATCAAGCTACAGTATAGGCTTTGGCATTAAAAAAAAGAAAAATGTGACACTTCTATGTGTATTGAGTATGGTTTCCAAGCCTATTTAGCAAGCAGTCTGCACTAATTGTTTTCACCAGTTTGCACTTAGGAGGATGGAGTGTGAAATGATTGTGTGGTATAGGTTCTTGAGCAGAGCTACAGGAAATGAGTAGAGAACTCAGATGTAGCCTGTTCACAAACAGATCCCATCATTTATGTTTTAATGCCTTATTTTAATTCCTTCCTCTGCGTTTTGCACTCTTTCTGGCTTTCAGCCAGTTGTGATCTCTTTTTACAGCTCAGCCTCCCAACATACAAACAACTGAGACAGGCTGTGGGCTCTCTCCTTCTGCCTGATCCACAAACTTGTTCTTACTTTCAGCATTGCCTGCTGGTCCTCGCTGTATTCCACCTGAGCTGATGAGAGATTGAGGACAGCTCTCTCCACCGAGTCCTTGTCACTGTTGTAGATGTAGACATAGGGGCGTCTCACGACTACATAGCGCTTCACCCAGCCATTTGTGTGGGGCTCCAGGAAGTGTAAGTAACCTTTTCTGGAGACAATGGGGCTGTAGAGAAGACACAATGGCACCATGTTTAATAACTGTACTGAAACTGCACAATGAACAAAGTGCTTGCGCCGCCATCTTGACCAACTGAAAGTTAAAATCCCGCCAGTATTTTGTCTTTGTTCAAGGCTCATCCATCTGCTCCAGAAATTAAGCTCCTGCAAAGTGACCTAATATGCTTGCATTTGGCTTGTTTCTACTCCACCTGGTGTTTCTTATTGTGTCATGAAATTCACATATGAAGGAGATTAGTACACCTCCTTCATGTAGATGCACAGTCTCACATATACCATATGAAAGTGGCCCTACTGTTCCCTCCCAGAGTTTTGAATGGGGGGAAATCACTTGTTTGAGCAAAACAGGTAATTCTCTTTTAACACAGATATCATTGCATGATGAAGAACATCACACAAAGGGAAAAAAAAAAGTCAGACACAACCTCAGTAACTGTTTGCTGGTGATCTAAATAAAAGATCCATTTGACAATCTGGGTTAGCACTCTTGAGTTAGCACTCTATCTCCACATAGTTTTCTTGCACACTTCTGTAAACTATTATCTTCCTCTCTGAACTCTGACCTCAATCACACAGACTGGTAACAGACCTATTGCTTTATCTAACCCCATGGCGGAGTTTCACCATCACTGTGGTCTGCCCAATTTATACCAGAACAAATGGATGAGATCCCTTGTTTGGGTCTTAAGAGACCACCGCCTTGCCGGGAGAAAGAATAAAAACTAGATTTCCTATTGGAAATTGAAAATCTAGTTTCTATCGGTTTTGGGCAGGGGAGAAGGGGCAGTCTGTAAGCCAGGGCTCAGATGAGTAGAGATGAGTGAGAGATAGGATGGTCCTAATAAAGAGAGAGGGAGGTGTCTATATTCTTCCTTTCCCTCCCTTTCCCTCCATGACCCCCAGCTCCCTGTCATAGCATTGTCTGAGGTATTCAGGAAAGGCAGGGAGGGGAAGAGGGGGTGGGGAAAGCCATCAGAGCAGTGGCATCCCATTATGTGAGGGGATTATGTGTGGGCTGGCAGATCGTAAGGAGAAACATCAAACTCTCAAGGGTAGCATTGTAAGTGAGAGCATAGTGAGGTCCAATTTAGATTTGCACTCAGACAGCAAGAAAGGATTGCATCTCATTACACCAGAAAGGGCCACTTTCTTGGACTGAGCTTGAAATAATTCTTCCACTCCTGCAGGAATCACTCCAGCCTGGCCACAAAATTACTACTACCAGTAATTTTGCCTTGTCACTGAACCAAAAAGGACCAACTGGGATATAGATTGGGGTTAAGCTAGATGGTCACTGCCCATAAATCATTTGATTGCTGGGAAACAATTTGCACTGGATCATGGCACATATGTAGACGATACCACTCTGATGGCAGAAAATGAGGAGGAATTAAAGAGCCTCTTAGTGAGGGTGAAAGAGGAGAGTGCAAAAAATGGTCTGAAGCTCAACATGAAAAAAAAAACTAAGATCATGGCCACTGGTCCCATCACCTCCTGGGAAATAGAAGGGGACGATATGGAGGCAGTGACAGATTTTACGTTCTTGGGCTCCATGATCACTGCTGCTGGTGACAGCAGCCACAAAATTAAAAGATGCCTGCTTCTTGGGAGGAAAGCAATGACAAACCTCGACAGCATCATAAAAAGCAGAGATATCACCTTGCCGACAAAGGTCCGCATAGTCAAAGCTATGGTTTTTCCAGTCGTGATGTATGGAAGCGAGAGCTGGACCATAAAGAAAGCTGACTGCCAAAGAATTGATGTTTTTGAATTGTGGTGCTGGAGGAGACTCTTGAGAGTCCGCTGCAAGGAGAACAAACCTATCCATTCTAAAGGAAATCAACCCTGAGTGCTCACTGGAAGGACAGCTCCTGAAGCTGAGGCTCCAATACTTTGGCCATCTCATGAGAAGAGAAGGCTCCCTGGAAAAGATCCTCATGTTGGGAAAGTGTGAAGGCAAGAGGAGAAGGGGATGACAGAGGATGGAAGGCTCAGTCAATCCTGAGCCAGCTACCTGTGCCCATTGAGACTGAACTCAAGTTGTGAGCAGAGTCTTGGCTGCAGTACAGCAGTTTAGCTACTGTGCCACGAGTGAATAGAGTGAGCTCTCTTCACTTACATACTGACGTGGGGAAGCTGCCCACTTCTAGAGGCAGGGAATCTCCCTGGTGAAGCAGCTCCTGTATGTTTCTGATATGTGTAAATGTAGCTTTCTATCTTTAGATACAGTTGTCTCTACTGGTACTACAGCTGCTCTCTTCATGGTGTTGCTTCTCTCCAAAGGAAAGGTGTATTGCAGGAAATAAAATATATGATAGGACTAGACCACTGGAAGGGAGATTGTAAAGCAATCCCTCTGATGTACCCAAGTAAATAATCCATTCTTCCAGACCACAATTTGTACCTGACTCGAATTTCTTGAATGTCAGGGACTAATAGGCGCTGGGTCTCCTTTTCCTCTTCAGGCCCACACGTAGGTGATTTCTTCTGTTCTCCTTCCATTGTGGGCTCAGATTCAGGACTTTCCACCCTAGAAGAGAGTTGGAGACTTCTGCAGAGGGAAGGCAGGTAGGGAATTTCAATTACATTTCAAGTACATTTTGACGTTCTTTCATTCCCCAATGAAGAAAACTGGGACAGTTTTCTGGCACAAGTCTTGAAACATGTCCATATAACTTTAAACCAGATCTGAAATTCTTAGGTTTGCTGCCTTTTTACCTGGCCTCTGTGCCATTGTACCGCCCTTCAACCAGTGATGGACAGGTAGAAGAGGGGGTCAAGGTAGTGCCACCAAGAGCTGACATGGAAGGATCTCTCATCAGAGTCACTGACATCTCAGACAGCTGTAGAAGAAGAATACATCACTGGTTTGTTGGTTTATTTCTTTATTATGTTTCTATCTCACTTCTCCTTTGAACAATAATGCTCAAGGCATCTAACAAATACAGTTTAAAACAGATGAAAAACAAAATGAATTAGACCATGAAACCATTAAAATGAGATTAAGCAATTAAAATACAGTCACCAAGTTGCTTGGTTTAACGATAAAAGAATATAGCAGAAGACATACAGAAGAAGCATGCTGTTGTTATTATGAGAACCATATCTAGACATGGTACATCTTTGTTTTCAAAAATGTCAGATTTTGATGCTCGGCTGCGTATAGGTTATTCCTTCCTCTCTACAGAAATCTATCTAATATACTAAGGTGTAGGGGTTATAGCTCAACGACAGAGCACCTGTCTTATCCATAAAAAAGCCCTCAAGTCCAAGCATCTTCAGATAAAAGAATCAGGTAGCAAGTGATTGTCTAGGAAGTTATTGTCAGCCAAAGCAAACCAATATAGAATTAGATGAGCAATTGCCTGCCCCATTATGGAAGTTTCCTATGTTCTTCCTACACTCGAAAGAGATGGAGGAGAGATGTCTAAAACTGAGTTACAATCTAATGTGTTCTTACCTGACTGTAAGTTCCACTAAACCCCCCCACAAAGTCTTATTTCTGAACAAACTTACATTGGATTGGGCTTTTAATATCAAACATGAGTCACGGATCAGCATTATGGGAAAGGCGCTCCAGTCAAAAGTCACTTATTTTTAATATGCTTCAAAAATAATATGCAATTCTATTAATAGACTTACTCTCTGTTTCACCCTAAAATAATCACTGTAGCCTCCTTTTCCTGTCTCCCTCATCCCCATATGAGATAAATTTCTTATTATGTATTATAGAGAATTACACTTGGCCTAGAAAGCTGTCCATGAGCTTCCATCATAAAAGGCAGCATCACAGGCAGATTCTCCAACCAGAATGAAGATTCAGACTTTTGCATCTGTCTGCTCATGAAATAAAAGAACCATTTGCTCACCACACTGGATATATCCTTCCCAAAAAAGGACAACGTTTATAGTTATATGCTTAAAGAGAAAGCAGAAAATGGAACCACGGACATTCCCTTACCTTGCTCTCACTTGCACTAACACAGACATGGCTATGGCTATACTCTCTGTTGAATGTGTGTGTCAGGAGGCGCAAGCACTGTAGAAAAGAGGAAGAATAATAATTACAAGATCCTATTGAATCAACTGTGATGCCAAGTATGATGCTGAGTAACTCTAGCCAGATTTTGTGTCTCTGGTTTCTTAAGAAGGCTTCTGCACAGAGAGAATTCCAATCATGCTCCCTAGACTAGTATCTTCCAATATTCCCCACACAGGACACTTTCTGATCCTGAGATAAATGAAAGATATCTACCAACACGAGGAAGCTTTAACTACTAGTAATCTTGTGCCTAAATTGCATGAGGACAACTATAATTCTACTCCCTGTAATTCAAAAGGGTTCAGCTTCATGACTAGGAAAGCAGAGTGTTTTATTTGTGTCTTCCTGTCTCCCAAATAATTTCTTAAGTAAAGGAAACATTGTCAGAATGTCTGCATCCTCCATCTTTTTTCCCTGTACTATTCATATTTTGCTTTTAAAACCCATCGACAGAAATGCTGTAATCCCTTTCAGCAGTCATGTAATCACAGCACTGCCCTGTCAGTAACAAATGGATGGTGTATGGTTAGTATCATTATCTAATTTAAACAACAAGGATCTTGTGGCACCTTAAAGACTATCAAGTTTTTTGTGGCATGGACTGTTGCTCACTTCTTCAGATCTGCCACAGGCCTCTAAATCTTATAGTAAATAAAACGTATTCATATTTAAAATGTTACAAGATTAAATTTTGTTGACCAGGGTGCTTCCTCACACCTCTAGAAATTATATAACTTAGTTACTAGCTGGCACTGAAATTGTATCTATGACAGGACTCAAAGGTGTCCTTGTTGTTGTTCAGTTCTACTTTGACAGTGACAACAAAGTTCTTTTCTAGACTCCAAACTGTTGTACCTTCTAAGCCTTCCATGATATTCATCCCCAAAGATATAGCATATTCCTCTGCTTTCGCTCTCATTTAATAACAGCAATGAGGAGAGAATGCTGAGACATGCAGCCACTATCCAGCTGCCTCTAATTTGTACCCTGTCAGAAGGCAAGCATAACTCTGTCCAGCTTCTCATAAGCCAAAGAGGAACTCAAATGTAAGCCTCTTGGATGCTGGCATGGGGTTATCCTGTATCTACTACCTTAACTGCAAGTTCTTTCTGTCTCTCGCTGGGGGTGTCTAGAGATAAAGTCCTCCCATCTGGGGTACCATCTGCTGAGATAGGGGATGAGACACAAGATGTGCTGCGGGAATCAGAGTCTTCACTGGAGCTTGAGGACAGGGAATCGAGACCTAAGCGCTGAGTTGTCTCTAACTTCTCACGCAAAAGTAAGTAATGTCTTGTTTTCTCAACCTGTAGTAAGAAAGAAAGAAAGAAAGAAAGAAAGAAAGCTTGACAACTCTAGGTAACAGACACATGCATACAGTCATTTTTACATAGAAATTAATCTCTGTATAGGAAATACCATAGCTGGTTAGATAGCTCAGTAGTTTAGATATCTGATTGAAGAGCCAGAGGTTGGGAGTTTGATTCCCCATGTGTTTCCAGAGAGAAGAGGCAGCCTATATGGCCCTGGGTAGCTTTTCTAAATTCTACATTACACAGGTTGTGTTTCCCATATCATTCTGAATAAGAGAAGAAAGTGCAACAGTGCTTGAAAGGGATTCACGGACCAGGGGAGCATGGGTCCTGCAGTAGGCAACACTTCCAATTTCTTTGAATAATTAGCTTCCCAAGCATTGCCCTGTCCAATTCCATAATGTGAAATTAATGGATGATCACAGGCTACTTTATGTACAGCTCCTACCCTCACGTTTCCAACCTTAATGTCTTGAAATATATAATATATGTGGACTCGCCAGTAAGTTCTAGGCATATGTTGCTGGAGAGTAAGTTCTACTGAATTAAGTGAGACCCATCTGAATGGGTTAGAGTCTCAGATCCTGTTTAATCAACAATTTGACATGATTGACTTCATTTCTATTCACTTCAATGAGATTTAAACATGAATGGAAATGGATGCTGTTTTTGGAGCATTTAACAGTGTTAGAGTTTATGTTGAAATCTAATACCGTTGTCCAGGCCTGCAAATTTACCCAGATGAAAGATTTCTGTGTATCACAGACAGTTTCTGTCTTCCATTGTGATACACAGTTTAGGGAAGACTAGTTTACCCCAGCTATTCCCCCCACCCTACCCCAATTTCCTCCATCCTCATGGCTTTATACTCTGTCCTGAAAACACAGGCAATGTATACATATACTGGTGTGAAACAGAGAGAAAAGGAGCTGGAAAACCTCTGGGCTTGAGCCTTACCTCCTGCAGGAGGCTCAGTTTCTCCAGTTCCCACTGATGATCCAAGATGAGGCTGTCACTACGGGGCCGCCAGCCTGCCAGGTTCTCCTCACCTCGCACATACGCCACAGATGTGTCAAGCACCCGCCTTCGTCTTCTTTGCATACCTGCAAGTGGAAACGTTTCAAACTTGATTAATAATTTGTTTGTGTTTCATCTGTGCTATTTGACAAAATAAAATCTCCGAGTGCTTACTTTAATCAGCATTGCTTAGGCCCTATCTGTACAGTTTGTTTAATGAATTGATTTTATGCATACACTAATCATGGTTTGGCTGAATAGGATTTCGGATTTTGTTTACATGGAAACACGTTGTTACCAGTTTAGCAGGCACGCTGTGTCCCCACTTCATTCTTAGTGTGCAACCAGAGGAAATCATAGTGACAGAACTGTAGAGCTGGCAACACCACCAACTCTAGTCTGTCCTGCTAACACAGAAGATACACAGTGAGACTACACCAGAGGAATGAACATCCAACCTCTATTTTAAAATGATTGGTGAAAAAGAGTGTACTGTATTCTAAGGACAACTGTGCATTTTTTGACCCAAGCCATGTGGGGTTTATGATGAATTCATGATACATTGCACACCATTTATGTATCCTGCAACATGAATAAAGCAGGACATTCCGGAGGTTTGCAAGCAATGTTATGCCAGCCCTGTAGAGAGATATGTTACTGCCAAAGTTTGTTGTTGTATATAATTTATATTCCACCTTTCTCCCCATAGAGAATCCAAGGCAGCTCACAACAATAAAACAGATTTAAAAATACTACATAAATATCGCATTAAAAATAATTAAACATAGACATTTTAAAAATCAAGTTTAAAAACAATTTAAAAACATTTAAAAATCTGTACGTTAAAAACCAAGGTTCCTGAGACAACGTACTCCTTAAAAGCTTGTCTGAAGGAGAAGGCCTTTGCCTGATAATGGAAAGACAAGACTGACTTCTCAGGGCAGTGATTCCAAAGCCTGTGAGCAGCCACTTAGAAGGTCCTCTCCCATGTCCACACCAAAGAAGCTTAGGAAGGTGGAAAACTAAGAGAAGGGCCTCCCCAGAAGATCTTAAAAGCTGAGGAGGCTCACATAGGGTGATACGATCTTTCAAATGGCTTGGACCCAAGCCATATGGAGTTTATGATGAAGGAGTTAAGATGTAAAGAGACAGCCATGCTCAATCAAGTGAAAGCAACTGTGTTACAGCAGCAGTAACTCCAGCTCTTTTAATGCTGG